GAAACGTTTCCATGCTAAATCTCAGGGCACTGGGTATGTGTGGCTCAGAGAAGAGCTGCTTCGCTTCACTGGGAGGTTTCGGGGGTAGTAAATCCCAGTGAAACCAGTCCTGAGCACCCCTCGGCGGGGCTGGGGGGACCTGGGGCCCCGGCAGCACTGGATTCTGCTGGCATCCCAGCAGGGATAGCTGGCCCAGGAACCAGCCAAGCTTTTTTATCCCCCGCCCCCGCCAAGCGTTTCATTAGGGGAAAAAAAAAGGTGTATCTGTAGGTGCGGGGTGCGACACATGCCAGCTTTCTTCTTAGACCGAGACCTAACAAACTCGTTGCAGCTCATGTCGGTGTGACCCCGGTTGTCCCAGCTGGCTGTCCCCGCTGTCCCTGGGGTGGTGTTTAGATGCAGGGGGCTTGGGGAGCTCGAGCTGGATGATGCCGCTGCTCTGCTTCACTCACGCCGGCGTGGCAGGGAGAGAGCGTGTGTCAAGGGTGCGGTATTTCTCATTGATTTTGAGGAAAACAAAGCCTAGGGATAAAAATTAACCTAAACCTCTCCCTTTGCTGCTCTTCCAGCCTTGTTTAATTTTCCGTTTTGTGAAACGCATTTGTGGCTGTCTAGTTTCAAAAGCACGGTTGCCAGATGTCAGTAAAAGAGAAAAACAAGCCAATACATGGAAACAGCTTGAAAACTTCCCGAATAACTCGGGCACGTGCAGGCATATGCAGTACTCATTCCTCCCCTCCCTGCCGGGGCTAGTCCTGCTCAAATGAAATCAAATAAGTCCCAGCTCAGCTGCTCTGGTTGCTGTGACTGTATCTTTCTTAATATTCCCCAAAGTTTTCTTCTTTTCTGTGAAATACTAAAAATCAGTAAACTGATGGGGAATGTGGAAGCATCCGAACAGCCCCTCCTTTGCTCTGTCTTTCCTCAAGCACAGATGTAACCTGCTAGCAGAGGTATTTTTATATCAAAGTACTTATTATTAATTCCCACTCTCTCCCGTGTCTCCCCTGGGTGTATAGTGCTGGCTATCACCATGGTATCTGAGCTGGTTCCCCATAAATCAATATACTAGCGAGTAATGAGCTTCCTGGGGTCTGGCATTTATCACTTTGGGGTGTTCAAACGATCCTATTTAATTTAATGGGCATTTGTGTGGATGGTCGGGCAGAGGAAAGAAAAGCACAAAACACCAGTAGGTAACAGCATTGCAACCTGCGTGCAACCGCCGTACCATCAGCTCTGGATTTATTCCTGCTCCTGAGCAGGAGCCAGGCTGAGGTCTTCAACGCTATAGAGGTGATGGCCATCAATATAGAGGTGATGGCCGTCAATATTACGGGGGGGGAACCCCCAATGGGTGGGGGATGGATGAGGTTGTTTTCCCATCGAATGGCAAAAATATCAAGAGGCAGCGCTCCAGCTCTTCCTCACTCATCCCTCCCAAATTGTTCCTCTGCAAGTCACTTTGGCTTTGCTCCCGTTGCTGATGTCTTCAGCCCACGCTGGTGAAATGCAGAGTGTTTATAAAGCAATTTGGGATTTGGCTTGCTTGGCTGAACACTTCAAAAACTCATTTTGAATAGAGAGTTGCATCTGCAGCGGGATAGGGCCGCGGGGCTGGGACTTTCGAAGGGGCTGGTGGGGTGAAGGCTGTGAGATGAGGTTGCGCCGTGGGTTGAGGTGCACTCCTGGATGGTGGGGACCCCAGGACGGACCTCTGCATCTCCCCGAGCTGCCTGTCCGGGCTGTCCCTGCTGCCCCTCAGCTCTGGCTGGGGTTTGGTCACCGCAGGGCGCTGGGGCATGTGTCACCAACCTCCTTGCTCTGCCGACAGGTGTGATGGAGAGGTTTAGGAGGAGAAGACAAGTATTTGTTTATGAATACGTACTTCAGCGGTGAATAAGCTGCGATCTGCCTGAAGACGCAAATCGTCTGCCTTTGTTTCTGGTGTCAAGCGTAGGCGGTCTCTGGCCTTGTGATCCGCAGCACTGCTCGCTCGCAGCCAGCTGGGTACCTCAATGCCGCGGTTCAGCGTAGACCTCTTGAAGTGGAAAGGCAGAAGATGAGGTGCGTGCCCCGGGAGCCGCGCTTTGTGCCTGCCGCTCCTGCCCGAATGGGGAACGATTGACGGCAGACGAGGAACGAGAAGAAGCGAAATTGTTGAGCTCTGCCATGAAAAGGTTCTGCAGGTGGTGGCTGAATGGGCTCAGGTGCTGCATAATAGGTATCAACCAGGCTTTATCTCTGCATTGGCAGCTCCTTATCCAGCAAGAAAACTCTAACAAATACCGGTGTGGCAGTCGCTAGTTGAATTCATTCGGAGGAGTTATTCATCGAGGGGAGGAGAGAGGCACCTGGGTTGCCTCGCTGGCTCTCCCGGGGTCTGAGGAGCGGTGGTGGCACGTCCCATGCCCGCGGTGCTTCACCATGTGCTGGTACCACCGCCCAGGGTCTGAGCAGCAGGTGCTCTCTCTGTGCCGGGGCTCGCGCCGGGTGCATCCGCTGCCTCCTTTAATGCGGTTCCTCTGTAAATAGAATGGAGAGATGGGCATCTCGCCAGAAAAGGGGCTGCGGGCTCCGCTCCTGGGGTTATCTCTGCAGTTCAGATAGGCAGAAATTTGAGGGTTTTTCTCTAAACAACCCTTTTCCAGGAAAACAGCTGATCTTAACTCACTTCAGGGCTGAAATCAAACCCCGTTCCAGCGCTAATCTATTCATTGCATTTGCAATGTCGATTCATGACTAATGCAGGCCACAAGCAGCTTTCTGGAATGGTTTTCTCTGGGGGGGAAACAGGCATTTGCTGGGGGGCAGGGAGGACTGGGGGAACTCCTTCATGCGCAGGCGGGTCATGGGAGGTGGCAGAAAGCCTGTTGCATCGCGGAGCTTAAAGCTTTACAGGGTTATTTAGCAAATTAGTGCAAAAAAAACTTCATATTGGAGAGGTGGTCCGTCATTGTTTTGCACCCTTTAATACCAGCTGCAGAAACCCAAGGGTTCTCTTTATCACTTATTTCCAAGTAGCAGTCGGAGTGCTTGGGTCCTAATCTTCAGGCAAATTCATATTTCCCCTTGACTGCAGCCAAACTATTGCAGAAGATAGGAAGCGGCTGGTTTAGTTAGAGGAAGATGGTGTTTGTAATTGCGGGCGCCTCGGGTTTGCAGTCCAGCTGGTGTGCCCAGGGACGTGCTGAGACACCTGAGCAAGGAAAAGCATTACTGAGGAGGCAGTTGCATGGGTACGAAGATGCCCTAAACTCCCTGCCGTGGCTTGCTTGCATCCAGCAAGGCTATTTCCAACACAACCTGCAAGAAAGTGCTCTGAAGGGTGCTGTTGTCTTTCCAAAAGCCATGAGATATGGGATTGGTCCCGTTCCTGCTTGACCTGAAAACTGTGCTCTCTGCCCACGGAGGGACATGGAGCTTTTGGCTTAGGAGCAGGAGGGTCCTTCGTATCCGTGAGCTTCTGAAGAAGCAAGCAAGGTTCATTCCCGATAAGTGCTATCCCAATCCCAATCAGTTTAATCCCCCAAAGAGCTGCCGAGATCTCAGCTTCCCCTGCTTTCTGGATCACGTTTGAATCGCTTGCGGGGACCTTATTTGCACCCAGGTGATGGCCTTGGCCAGGGGACGTGTGGTAGTGTTGGGGGAACGGTGACCGCCCTGCGGTTTGGGGGGATTGCCGTTACTGTTTTCGATGTCCACAAGGAAAACACGGCGCAGCCTCCTGGAGGTTTTGCCTCATCGTACTGCTCTGAGCCAGCCTCGGGGTAAAAAATAAAAGCGGGGCTTTACTGCGACGTTGAGTTCCTGATTTCTCTGGATTTGCAGCCCGGGGGGAGTCACTGTGGGGCTGGGCTGCTCGCCCCTCCGCATGGCTGTGCTGAGCATCGCTGCCCTTGGTGTGCCTCTTCTTCCTCGCCCAAGCCGGGGGTCTGAACCATCCCCTCTCTCCCCGTCTGAGCAACATGGTACCCAGGCAAACCCAGGGCTGCTCTGTGTGATGCTCCTCAGCCCTTGTAACGAGGCACGGCTCGGGCTGGTTATTTCCATCCAAAAAGGGCAAAGCCTGTTATCTCCCGGGGGACAAATCCAGACCGGTCTGTGCTGGCATCCCCGGGGCTGGAGGAGAGGGGTGAGGGGAAAGCAGCGGAGCTGAGCGAGGATGCAGCGGTGGGAGAGCAGAGGAATTAAAACCTGTAACTTTTTATTTGTTAACTAGAACAGGATCAAATTAACGTCTGTGGTTGCCGAAGCCTCTTTAACGAGATGTGTGTTGGGCGCTTTATTTCCCGGGCACAGGTATCCAGTCTCATCTTTCTAAAGTTGCCTGTAATGAGCGTGGGTGGATAGAGAAAAGCAAAAAAGCCCTTTTTTGTGGGAGGGAGTCGAGGCAGCATCCACCCACGTACTCCATTATGATATTCAAATGTCAATATATTTTTAATTGGTTTATATCTCCCCCTCCCCCTCCAGCTGCCTTTGGTAATTAAGGCTCTGTAAATAGATTTTACTGTAATTGGTACGAGAAGGAAAATTGGAGGACATTGTACAGTGCATTGGCGTTTTTTGTTTTTTTCCTCCCTGTCTTTCCTCTTTTGACTCATTACATCTGTGAGTATTGTATCCTCCGAGGGAAGAGGCGGGGACCCGTGGCCAGTTTTGCACAAAAAGTCTGAAGCAAGAGGGCCAGGTGGTTTGCTCGTGGCTGGGATGCGGGGAAGAGCCGGGAACCAGCCCAGGTTACCCCTTAGGGGGCTCAGCACCACGGTGATGGCACCAGCACCCACCGGGGAGCAGCGTGAGCTCCCTCCCAGTGCCAAACTGGGGAGAGCCCCCAGTTTTCTCGCTGAATCTTCAATCTGCCTTGAGACGTAGCCAAAACTCTTGTGGTTATTTATAGTTCCCTGCCAGAGCCGCTGCATCTATAATTTGGGGATGTTTCTCGGCGGGGGTTTATAAACCGTGTTTTTATCTTCTCGCCTTTCCTGTTCTTTCAGCCTGTGTAAAGGACGGACTCTCTACTCGGTGGTGAGAGATGCCAAAATTGTCCTGGATGTCAACAAGACGAGGCAGATAGCGCAAGAAATTGTGAAGGTACAGTATGGTGCTGGGGCAGCTTGGCAGCAATGGGGGTCTGGATCCGGCCGAGAGCCCGGCCGAGCTGCTCCAAGGAGTCGGAGTGAAGAAGCCAAGGAGGCTGGGCAGGAATCCCAGGTCTCTTAGACCTCCCTCACCCATTTTGAGCTAAAGGAGTCGGAGTGAAGAAGCCAAGGAGGCTGGGCAGGATAACACCTCTTGGCTTTAAAATCCAGGTCTCTTAGGCCTCCCTCACCCATATTGAGCTGAACTGAGGTGGCACCAAGGCTTCCCATGGGCTCCCCGTGCAGTGGTGAGCTTGGGGCTCATCCTGGCCGCAGCACCTCTTCCCCCTTGGAAGTGCAGGTGTTTAAGTCCAGCTTTGCTGCTGCGAGCGAGTTGCTAGTTGGATATTTCTCTCCTCTTGGGGAAAAAAAAAAAATAATCTGCAGTTGGTCTGAGGTTTCCACGTCTCTGTAGTGAAAGCATCCCTGCAGCCAAGGCGCTCGGAGGAGTCAGTGCCGTGGTGCTCGTGGCAGGGGGCTGTGCGTGCCACCAGGCAGAGCACATGTACATTTTTCAGAGCTAAAAATGCTTTTCCTTTCACAGAGATGACTCAAAGTGCATCTTCGACACTTCAGACATGACCGTATAAATAGATGCTGGGGAGGATCCTCACGTGGCAGGGTCAAGTGGCTGGGAAGTTGGGTCCTGAGCCATCAAAGCTTCCCATCGAGTGTTCGCAACGGCTCGTTTTCCTAAGGGGTGTAGAGCCGTCTGCCAGCGTAGGGTTGTACTGTGATTCCAAACATATTTAGCACCAAACGATACCAAAAGTATTTGGCACGTGTCCTACCGTGGGAACCGCGACACTAACCCTGTGCCCCGCTCAAGGTCAGCCAGCACCTCCGGCCCACAGCAAGACCAAATCATCCGGGGCTGAGCTCACGTTTAACATATTTCTATGGAAAAAAAGAAAAAAAGAAAAAAAAAAAAGAAGTTTTTCTGGCAGATCTTAAACCCGCTTAACTATTCAAATCCATGCTATAAAACAGAATACGTTCTGCAATATATCCTGAATGGGTGCCGTTCCCCTACCTGTGCTTATGCTGTCTCTTATTAGATTGCCTATTTGGCGTTTATTTACACCCAGATTTAGCAAAGTGCATGCTGTTTTTAAAGTAAATTCCTTAAATTCCCCCGAAGTCTCTGGGCTCTGGGAAGGAGCTGGCAGTTGAGCATAGGCTGAACTGCTTTGCTGAGCTGGTGTTGCAAGGGGCGTCTTGGAGCAGCAAAGCTATGGCCTGAATTTGGGGTGTCTGAGACAGCCGAGGGCCTCTCTGCTTCATTTCTATTTTTGATCCCTATTTTCCACTTTTTAAAGATGGATTTTTCCCACTGAGCAAACGTCTGAGGCATCACATAGGTTTGCCTCATGTTTTTTCCCCTGACTACCACCGTGCTTGTGCTCAGGGTTCTTGCCTCCCAGATGTTCACCGCGGGAGGTAATGGCTTGGTTCAGCCCCTTTCGCTGTGCGGGTTGCATTGCTTCGTGTGGGTCGGGGTTTTGAGGACTAGGCTAAGAGACCGCTGTCTTCTGCAGCTGCATGTGCATTAGGAACGGGTTGGAAACCTCAAACTCTTCGTGGTGTTGTGAGGCATCGCCAGCACAGGGGAAGCATCACTGGATCTCTGAGATGAAAGCATTACCGTGAAGAACGTCACCCGTGAGATCTGCTGAAGATCAGCATGAATGCACGTAGGCTTGGCTGTAGTCCCAGCAGCAAGCCAGCTTCCCTGCGTCCTCTCCTCCTTGGGAGTATGGGGTCGGGTGCTCCTGCTGCAACCCGCTGCAGGGCGGAGGGACTTTGGGTCTGACCCAGGTCCCCATAGGAATTAGAAGAGGTCCACAGGCAAAGCTGTGCAGCATGGGTGCTGAGCCCAGGCTCTCCCTGCACACCGGAGGGATTTTAAGGCAGCGGCTTCTGCTTGCAGGAGAGGTCCATCGCACCCCTGTCGCAGCCGCCTCGGTGCTGTGCCCCGGACACGTGGCCCATTGCTGGTGTGCACCAGGAGGAGCAGTTTCTCTGCCTTCCCACCTCTCCGTGTCAACCATCAGCCGATGTTAAGGATGTTTTGGTGGACTTGGAGGTGGCTGGTGTGGAGAAGCAAAGGAAAACCCAGACATCTTGGTTTGGTTGGGCTTGGGGCAGCATTGCCCGGAGGAGCTGGAGGCAGGACCATGGCGGAGACTTCGGCTCCGCTAGCTGGTCGGGGCAGTTGTTTGACTTTATCCTTTGCGTCCCCGCATGCGGTAGGAGAGCCGTTAAGCTTATTGGATTAGCGGGTGCAAGGGCTCTCGTTATGCCGTGATCCTCCGGAGGCAAAAGTTAATTTATTTAAGAAGCAAAGCCGGCAGAGGGAGCTGGCTTTTCACGCATGCCGGGCAGCCGAGCAAATTAAGGCATTACTGGGCCGAGAGTGTTTTCTCACAGATCATCCTGGGGGTGAAGGCGGTGGGGCTGGAATTTGCAGTGGGATCTGTGCGATACCCTGCGGAGCGAGGCGAGGGATTTGGGTTTGCTGAGAGCTCCTCGAGAAATACCTTCAGCAAAGGCTTGGCTGCGTTTGGTGATTGCATGGGAGATGCGTTCCCATCCATGCTGCGTGAGCATGGGTGCAAAGTCACTGCTGCCCGCTCTGAGTTCCCGTCAACCCTGGCCGATGGGAGGGGGCTGCAGAGCATCCCCATGGTGCTGGGTCTCATCCTGTCCCATGGATGTTTGGGGCCCTGCACTGCACCTTGCAGGAGGAACAGGCTCACGGCATTGAAATATGTTCCTTGCACAAGCCTGGCACTTTGTGAAGGTGACAGTGACATTTTAAAGCAGCTTTTTAAACCTCATCATTATTTCATGTGCTGGGACCCGGAGACCCCTAATTAATCCTGGTGCCTGGAATGGTCCCAGCATCCAGTTGCAGCTGTGGCATCTCAGGGCCAGCTGCAGCCCCGAATCCTTTCCTTCCTCCAGCATCCCTTAGCAGAGGCTCTTCAGGATTTGAGTGCCGAGGGGTGCAGTTAAATCCCCATGACTTGCTGGGTTGGGGCGTTTGCTGTCCCCAGCAGCACGTTGTCCCTGGCTGCCCCCAGCCTTTCCCGCTGCTGGAGCAGAGCCCCCCAGGTCTGTGCTGCTGGCGAGTCCTTGGTACCTTCAGGATTTTTTTCTAACATCCTGGGCATTTGCATTTGAGGATTTGTGGGTTTTTCAGATTGCTTTCCCAAGTTTCCCAGATCGTTGCCGAATTTGGATCGTGCCTCCCAGCTCCACATCATCTGCAAACTTAAGAACATATTCTTGTTCCACTGCCTGCGTGGTTAATGACAATACGTGAAAAGATCAGACGTAGGATGGACCCCTGTGGAAATCCAGTTAATAAATCCCCTCATGTCAGTGATAGACAACTGATATTTGCTCTTAAGCAACGGTTTGCTGGCCCATTTGGCATTTATCCTTCAGGAGCTTCCTCTAGACCAAGTTTCCCCTAGTCTGCTTATGAGAATGAAAAGCGAGACAGCATTGAAAGTCCTGCTGAAGTCAGGATAAATGGCTTTTATCGCCCTGCCCGTCCCCGGAGCTGGTTATCCCGTTGAGCTGAACGTCCGCCACATGGAGCTGTCAGCAGTCTGCTTGATTTGCCGATGCTAAACAAGCCAGGTGCAAGGGAGTTTGGATTTCCCACCCATGGCCTTTTTTTGCATCATTAGCAATAATTTTAATTAACCACCAAGTAGCTTTTCCTAGGGGAAAAGGATTAAGGCAGGACTCCTGCGCGGCGCTGGTTTCCAGGCTAATGGTGTCGGTGTGCACATAGGAAGCACTAATGGCTCAGCCAGGGTATGCGATAGCGGTGATGGAGAGCTTTGACTTATTACCCTTCTGCTCCCAGCCCCAAACGAGAATGAAGGCGAAAACATCATCATCATCAATTTCTCAGCAGAGGATTTCAGGAAAGCAACTGCCAGTTTGGTTTGCCGCTAATTTTTCTTGCATAACCAATTGATCAGGAAGATGAGTGGGCGCCATCGCAGCTGAGACGCCCGCACCACGATCCCATCACCCTCCGTGAGCACTACCCGATGCCCGTCCCAAGCCAGGGACTCCCTGGACACCTGCCCTTTCTGCAGGGACATTTGGGGACGTGCAGCCTTTGGCTGTGGCCCAGCCGTAGCTCGGTAGTCTGGACGTGCTGCTGCGGCGCAGGGATGCTCGCAGCCGGGCTCACCACATCTTGGCAATCGTGGGGCTACCCCTGCTCTGGCATTATCCTGTCTGTTTGTGCTGCTTTTTCAATTTTGGGCTATTTTTCTCTCTCTTCCATCCTAGGGAATGGGCTATCTGCATGCCAAGGGGATACTTCACAAAGACCTCAAGTCAAAAAATGTTTTCTACGACAACGGGAAGGTGGTGATCACAGACTTCGGCCTCTTCAGCATCTCGGGAGTTCTCCAAGCGGGCAGGTAAGACATGGCATGGTGGAAATACCGGCGTTCCTCCTCATGCCCTAGAGGTCCCCTTTGAGCTGGGAACATGGGGAGGGAGCCCCAAAACCTCCTCTGCAAGTGACTTTCTGGGTCTGCAGCCTCGGTAAGACATGAGGACAAGGGGCCTTTGAGTATCCTGGGGCTGCCACGGGGATTTCACCATCTCACCGCCTGGGACCTTGCTTTTGAGGAGGCTTGCTTTGGGAAAAGAGCAAGATGCGTAGCTCCTGCAGAAAACCCTCTGCCCCACGAGCGGTGCTTCCTTGAAACGCAGCTCCACGCTCAGCGCTGGCGTTGGGTTTGCAGTGCAAAGCCCCAGAGGGACGGTGGGAGCAGGGCTGGGGTTTCTGCAGCGAGGTGGGTCTGGGCTCAGTGCCAAGCAGTGAAAACAAACTGCTCTGCTCCTTGGGTGCAGAAGTTGCAGCTCGTTTTGATTTGATTTTGTTTCATTTATTTTTAAACCTAGCGTTTAAAGGCAGAGTTGCTTTTGATTGGTAGGAAGGAGCACGGTGCTGCATGCAAGTTTGGTTCAGGGAGGCAGGACCTGGCCCCGGGCAGGGTCTCTTGGACCCAACCTCTTCCCACGGGATGCATCATTTCTATGGCCAAACCACCCTGCAGCCGTCCGGGAGATGCTCCTCGGGCTCCGTTTCACCAGGGCCGGCAAAGCTGGTTCGTTCCTTGGCCTTTTCCTAACACGGTCGTTATAATCCCCCGGCATCTGCTTCATCTCCTGCCTCTGGGCTGATGAGCGGTGCAGCCAGAGTGGCAGCCCGGGTCGAGCGGTGCCGTCCCCGTGGCTGTCCCCCGGCCACTCCGGTGACCTTTCGGGTGCTGCAGACATCTGGCCACGGCGTCTGCGCCGAGCCAGGGCATGGAGCAAGACACAGAGAAAATGAGAGCCAAGCTTGGGACATTTACAGCATTGTGACATTTTTTGGTCTCTTTGGGTTTGGAATCAAGCCCATTTGGTAAATGTTCCTTATTAAATTTTTTTTTTTCCAGTGCTTTGGGAGGTTTTCCAGCTGTAGGCATGGCAGGGCAGGGTTTCAGCAGCCGTGGAAAGGAAGAAAAGCAAAGCTGGGGGGAAAAGGAAACAGAAGAGGGGAAAAAAGAACAAAGATTATTTTTTCCTTTTTTGTTAAAACTTAAAAAAAAGAGCATTGCTGACTTTTCCCAGTGGGAGAGCGCTTTTTCACTAAACCCTTTGTGTTAGAAGCAGCACAGGCCAAGCGCGGCGTTATCTGCGCCGGCAGCTCGGGCAGGTTTCCTCCAGCAGCACGGCACCCACCTTCTGGTCCTTTCAGTCTCCATCACCCCACGTGATGGGGTTTGTCACCGGAGAGGTTGTCGTGGCCGATCATCGCTTTATGGCAAAGATGCTCAGGAGATAAAATGCACCTTAGAAATTATATATTTTTTTTCTTGCTCCCGTGTGATGAGGTCAAAGGATTAGAGGAAAAGGTGGCGGCCGCCTCTCTCCACCCCACGCCTCTTGCGGCGAGCCGGGCAGCCAGCCTTTCCATTCCGCTTGTATAAATATCATCTGGTTTTAGCACAAACTTAGCCAAAAGCTTAGGAAGCCCAAGAAATCCAGCAGTGCTGCTGCTCTCCCCACAGCGGAGAAGTGGGCTTCGGCTCTGGTTTAGCAGCTGGGCAGGGGGGTTGGGACTTAGGTCCTGCCAGGATGAGGTTGCAGCTCATTCCAGCAGTGGTAAAAGGATTTGGGCAAAAATGGCCAAATTTTGCCAGGGACCTTTGCTGTGAAGGTCAGAGATGCTCTGGAGATAAAATGAGTGATGAGACGCTGGGGAAATGGGGTATCTGATGGGGTGGACCAATGGGTGGCCATCTCTGCTCAAGGTTGGGGTGTCACTTGGGGGGTAAAGTCCAGGAGATTACTCAGGAGAGGAAGGATGGTGAGAAATTGCAAGGCTGAACAGAAATGAGCAGTGTTTAGCTAGAAAAATGGAGAAAAGGGGGAAATTTCTGCCCCAAGAAGCTTTCAGTGTGGCTGCCCTGGACTGGTGGCACATGTCTTCTGCCAGTGGAGAGCTGAGAGGAGGCTTTGGGGATCCGCGCTCATCGGTCACCATGAATTTTGAAGCAGCAAGTGTCTGCAGGTCTGATTTCCCTTCTCAGGGTGGTTTTTTGGCTGGTTCTGGTTTCTCTCAGATGAAGAAGAACAATAAAGACCCGTTTTGGGTCCTTGGAGGCTTGCACGGACAAGCATGTATGGAGAAGGGAGCAAATTTTAGCAGGTCAAGTTAAGGACGGTGATGTTGCTTCAGATGTGAATGAGAACTACAAACTGGCCTGTTTTCGCTAGGGTCAAAAAAAGACATGGCTTAAAAATCCTCCTCGTCCTCCTAGAGCAGGCTCACCTTCGGTTCATGAAAGCGTCTGGCACAAGGAGCTTGCAGTGTCCATCCCTGCCATGACACGCTTGCGCTGCTGAAAAACGAGACGGCTATCGCAACTAAAATACTTTCTGCAGAGGCTTCGTAATCCGGTGTCTTATCCTGGCAAAATCAGATTTATTTCTCCTTTATTTAAACGTTGTTGGGTTTGGTAAGGCTGCTCTGTAATTAGGAGGAGCGCAAGGTGGGTCTTGAGTTGTCTGAAGAGCTCTTCTGCTCTTGCTTTTGCCTTGGGGCTGGCTCGTCCTTCGGTGTGTTTAGATGCCCAGCTGGTTGTGCTGCTTTCTGCTAGTGGAAGTGGCCAGGTTGGTTATGAAGTCAGGCAAACTTTTGTCATGAGACCTCAAATTGCTGTAATTGAACCATGTTTGGGATTTCATTAAAGCTCAGCCCTCATTGCTGGAAGCTCGTAAACCCATAGCTGCATGCTCGGGCGTACGTGAGCTTTGCAGAGGGATGAGGCTGGGCTCACACAGGAGCTGCGCAGCCAAATCCGGTCCCCGGAGCATCCCGAGGCAAGCCTGAATGCCGCTTCTGGGATATCACAACACTGGGCGACTTGAGTGAGCAAAATTAAAAGCCCCAGATGCAATCCTGGTCTTGCTGAGGGCGGTGGAGCAGATCTGAGTGCTGCCCGCTGCGTCCTGCTCCCCACTGCCTGCCTGGAGACAGAGACCGTAGATACAGGGAAGGATCAGCGAGCTTCTCTGCGTCTTTTCTAATTGCCCCGGTGCTTAACGCCGGCTTGTAATTAAGAGTCGCGCAGGGCTGGAGGATGGCTGCGGGATCCGGCTGGGGAGCTGAAAGCCTTCCCCCTGTGCCAAAGTGCTCTCACCTGCAGCTCCCAGGGCCAGAGGGTCCGTGCCTCACCGGAGCCACTGATTGCGGCAGTGGCTCCGACGCAGCAGGGTGAAGAGGAGCTGTCGAGACCCCGGAGGGGGTACGGAGGCTTAATCAGCGATTCCCTGGACCGGCAGTGTCCTTCCCTAGGGAGGGGGTTCCTCCTCCGGTTGCTGCCAGACCTGGGGGTGATGCCTGGGGAGGACTTTGCAGCCAGGAGGATCTGGACTGTGTCGGCTTGGGATTGTGCGTGTTGTGTGCATGCAGCCGGGGGCGGGGGGGGGGGAAAGCCAGCCAAGGAGCAGTGGGAGCTTGTCATCCTGCCTCGGGGGTGGATGGAGATGCCTGTGCCTGGATGGTGTCCCCTGGGACCTGGGCTCTGGGATTTTGGCCCCAGCAACCCCACAGCCATCCCTTACCCCTGCGCATCAGCATCCTCAGGAGGGCATCCAAGCACAAACAGGGAGACATTCCTTGATACGAGATGGTGGGCTCCTCCTTCTCTAGCCCAACGTCAAGTGGGACAGTTTTTGTTACCTCCTGCAAAACTACGCTGCCGAATTTGGGCTCAGACACACGATCAAGCTGCTTAATGTGTTACCACCACCGGTGGTCCCTGCCCATTTCCCTGCCCGGGGACCCTTTTTATGCCAGCGGTGCATCCTAAGTGCCTGCTGGAGGATGTAAAGGATGAAGAAGCAACCAGCGTCATCCTCAGCTGTTGGCCAAAGGAGCCTAATGTTTTTGTACCGAGCCGAGCAGGGGGACCTTGAGGAGGTAGAGGAAAAGGCGGCTGAGGTTAGCTGAGGGGCTGGTGAGAGGGATTAAAGATGAAGTGGAATCCCTGGGTGGTAGCCTGGGATTTAATAGCGATGTCACAGCGAGGATTGGCCACTACATATCGCGGGGCAGATGACTGTAACGAAGCCAGGCTGCTCCCATGGGTGATGGCATGGGAGGCTTGGCCACGAAGGTGGGCTAGAGGGGCTGTTTGGGGCCGAACACCTGAAAATACTGATTTCCAGGACATTATTATAGGGTGGGTTTTGTCGGAAGAGACCCTTAGAGGTCTCCAGTCCAATCTCCTGCTCAACCCACAGCGGGGCTAGCTCAGGTGTCAACGCTGGTGGGATTTACCCCAGGTAACGCTTTGTCCCCGCTCTTTTAAGGTGTTTTGGTGCAATGGTCACAGCGAGGGCCCCGGCAGACCCTGCATCCCCATCATTAGCCCAGCAGAGCCGAAGGTCCCCTTCACCACCATCCTGTGCCCAAATTGTGCCCTGCCGCCTGGCAGGGACAGGCACGAAGCCGCTGTGCCGGCATTTCTCAGAGCAGGGTTAAAATCTGACTTTTCAAGGATGCCTTAGGGAAAACCACGGTTAAATGCCCCGGGGAGAGGGTGGGAAGGCTGGGGGGCTGCTCGCCGGTGGCACGGTGGTGATGTCCCCCGCTGTGGTACCCACGGCTTTGGCTCCATGTTTCGGCAGGCGGGAGAACAAGCTGCGGATCCAGAACGGCTGGTTGTGCCACCTCGCCCCCGAGATCATCCGCCAGCTCTCGCCGGATACCGAGGAGGACAAGCTGCCCTTCTCCAAGCACTCGGATGTCTTTGCACTGGGGTGAGTCCCCGCAGAGTGGGCAGGCTGCAGAGAACTGGCGCAGTTGTGTCGGGTGTGAGCTGCCCTGAGCAGCCGGGAGGGGACGGGGACACTGTTCGCTTGCCACAACGCCGAGGGGACGCTGCCTGTGGGAATCGCTGGGCTCGGAGCACCTTCCCGCTTTGAGAAATTTTGAGTTAAACCCCCCTAAATCCTCAAATCCTCCTGTTTCAGCTACGGACCAGGGTGACTCCAGGCAATGGGATCCAGAGCACCCTGGGGATGCCAGCCTGGCGTAATCTCTCCCCTGCATCCTCCTGGGGCAGGTACCGACGAGAAGGTGCTCTGGATGTCGGCTGGGGATGCAGAGGGTTGGGGACGCAGGTCTGGGAGCCCCTGGACACCCCAATTCTCCCCACCGGCCAGCTGCAGATGGGCTGGCGGGGGTGGCTGCCACTGCGAACCGGGGCTGCCGGGGGAGGAGATGCCAAAAGGCCAAGAAGAGGAGAATTGATGAGTCTCCTTCAGTGAACCGGCTCACCGCTCCTGCCGTTTATCTGAAAGCAAGCCTCCCTTATGGCAGGAGTCCAATCACGCCCTGATAAAACCTTTCTCGAGGCGGACGTAGGGCTGGGGGTTTTACCCAGTGGATTAATTTTCTTGTGGATACCTTAAAGGCTGCGGGGATTAGCGCGCGTGGGACTGTTATCGGAGGCGATATTTTCATCAAAACCACAGTAATTACAGCTGAAAGGGTCTGGCTTTTTTTTTCCCTCCCCCAAGGTATAATGTTAGCACAAAAATAAAGAAGTAATTAAGGGATCCTATCGAACTAAGTGAGAGTTGGCTACTTAGACTTAGTTTTTACTCTTTTTATTGAGTGTGAGCTTTGCCCTTATGTAAAGCATAAGTTTCCTTAAAAGATTAAAAGGTTTTCCCGCATTTTTCCTCTTTCTTGTTTCTGCTGCCCTCCCCTGAGCCCAGGAGGCTCACGGATGATCCGGAGGGTTATTGCCATCGCCACTTCCCCATAGGGATTTGAGGATCAGTGACAGCAAGAGGAAAAGATCTTTTAAAGACTCCAGAAGATGGCAGAAATGTTAAATTAGAGTGTGTGCGAGGGTGGTGCAGAGCAGGGGGCTGAGCCTGGTGGTGTGTGCTCGCCGAAGCCTGGGAGATCGTGGCAGTAATTAGTATTAGATGCATGGTCTTCTCTTCTCGTGCAAAGGGAGATGGAGCGGAACGCCGCTCTCCGTAGCACCATCCATGCCCCAGGAAACGCAGCCCAAATATTTTGGATGCATCTGAAAGCGGGAAGGTGAAAAATTAAGTCCCAAACTCCCAACTAGAAACTTGAATTTAACTGCATTGGATGCATTGAAGCACCTTCAAAATCCCCGCTCCTGCCTGAGCACCTCGTCCTGTGCCACCGGGACCTGCCCCTCTCCAGCCTCCTGATCCCCCCACGCCCGCAGCACCAATGGGCATCTCACATTATTCAAATTTTTGGAGATTTACAGCCAAACTGCGTATTTTTTCCAAAATCAGGAGAGCTGATTTCCAAAACCAGGGATCCCCCCTATCCGAGAGTGATCCTTCGTTTATCAGACCCCCTCCACCGGATTTTTCCACCCTAATGCCAATTCAACCTTGTTTCTTGCTGCTTTAACCAGCCGTGACAGCATCCCTTGAACGGAAAAGCAGCTCCAGGGAATTTGCCTTGGAAGTTGGGGCCAGTGCTGTGGGAGTCAGGGCTCATCCAGTCGCCGGGTGCCAGAAAACGAGGTTGCAAAACTCCCAGGCGGTAGCGGGGGCGGAAGACCGCGGGGGCGGCTGCCGGTTCAGCCAGAGATGCCCTTGTTTTGGGATATTCCCTTGGATTTGGGAGTCTTCACGGAAAGGAGGGCTTGGCTTAGCGATAAGAGTGGTGCAGCGGCAGATGGCTGCGGGTTCACGTGTGCCATCACCTGGTGAGGGCGCCGGGGATGGTTCATGCCATGGCCGGTAGCGGGGGCGGAAGACCGCGGGGGCGGCTGCCGGTTCAGCCAGAGATGCCCTTGTTTTGGGATATTCCCTTGGATTTGGGAGTCTTCACGGAAAGGAGGGCTTGGCTTAGCGGTAAGAGTGGTGCAGCGGCAGATGGGTGCGGGTTCACGTGTGCCATCACCTGGTGAGGGCGCCGGGGATGGTTCATGCCATGGCTTGGATGGCTTTTTCCAGCTCGGAGTGCTTTTTGCAGAAGAAAAAGGGAAACGTCGGAGCAAAAACGAATGCTTGGGCTCATCCTTCCCCGGCCCTCGCTGCCCCATGCAGCTGGAGCGGGTGGCAGGGTTAGAAACACCGGCCCGGCAGCTGGACCACGTATTTACCCCCTGCATCATCTATTAAGCTGCTCCGCGGGCAGCAGGGCGAAGTGCCATTGCAGCCCGGCGGGAGATTCCCACTTGATGTAACAGGCTGGCTGGGGGCTCTGCCCGTGCCTCTGTCCATGCCTCTGCCCGTGCTTCCCATCAACCTCCATCCTCCTGCCCACGGGCCAGGTTCTTCCCTGGTGTAAACTGAGAGCTGCAGCAGGCTGGTGGCTTGCTCTCGGTCGAGTCGACAGCCTCAGTTTCCCCATCTGGAAAATGGGAGAGGTGATATCTCTGTAATGAGGGCTGAGCACCTCTGCTTTGTCGTATCTGGGACGAAGCACCTCCTGGATGTGGAAGATTTTGGAGCAGGGAGAGATGGTGGATGTGGGTGCAATGGCCAGATGTCCCCTCTCAGGATGCCTCCCCATCCCCTGACCCCCACTGTCTCCCAACAGCACGATCTGGTACGAGCTGCACGCACGGGAATGGCCCTTCAAGACGCAGCCAGCGGAGGCAATAATCTGGCAGGTGGGAAGAGGGATGAAGCCAAACCTCAGCCAGATCGGGATGGGCAAGGAGATCTCGGTAGGTGGTGTGGGGGATGTCCCCTCTCAGGATGCCTCCCCATCCCCTGACCCCCACTGTCTCCCAACAGCACGATCTGGTACGAGCTGCACGCACGGGAATGGCCCTTCAAGACGCAGCCAGCGGAGGCAATAATCTGGCAGGTGGGAAGAGGGATGAAGCCAAACCTCAGCCAGATCGGGATGGGCAAGGAGATCTCGGTAGGTGGTGTGGGGCAGGCGCTGGAGCCCTGTGTGTGTGTGTGTGCGCGTGGAGGGGGAACGTGCCCCACTGGTGCACACCCTGGGTGGAGGGTTCCCTTTGAAAAACACTCTGTGCTGCCCAGGATCTGCCAGCAAAAAAGCAAGGGGTCCGTCCCTGCCCAGCCAGCGAGGCTCAGTCCTGCTGCCGTGGCACAAGTATCGGCTCAGCTTGCACATCCCCTCCAGCCCAGCCCTTCACAAGGATGCGGTGATGGAGACAGGGTCCTCGCAGGGTGGACATTGGGCATGGGGGTCGTAGTGGGAGAGGGACTGGCTCGGTTTGCTCACGCGCTCGCCCTGTGTGGCTGCAGGACATCCTCCTCTTCTGCTGGGCCTACGAGCAAGAGGAGAGACCCACCTTCACCAAGCTCATGGACATGCTGGAGAAACTGCCAAAGCGCAACCGTCGCCTTTCCCACCCTGGGCACTTCTGGAAGTCGGCGGAGTAAGTCTCTGCCCCTGCCCGTCCTTCCCCGTGCTGGCAGGCAGCTCTGCCTGCACTCCTCAAGACCCCACTGTCACAGCTGGATGGCTGGTGTTGGCGGTGGGGGAGCACGGGGACAAGCTGTGGGTATATTGATGCCACGCGGGGGGCAAGAATGGGTAGGAAGGGTGGTGACAGGGTGCTGTGCCCATGCCAGCTGCCACTGCGGTGCTGGCTGTCCTTGTTGGGGTGAAAAAGCCGGTGAAAGTAGTTGCGGATGATAAGGAGGAGCCTGGCAACGCGCTCCACAGTTGCGGATGATAAGGAGGAGCCTGGCAATGCGCTCCATCAATGCCGGGAGGAAGAAACAGGGTAGGTCCAGGGGCCGGCTGGAGCCAGGACCTTGGGGACATCTCCTTCGGGGACATCTGCTTTGAGGGCATCGGCCAGGGCTCCGGTGCCTGCCTGTGCACAGTGCTCAGAGCAGCTTTCCCTCCTGGGAAGGTGTTTTTTTCCTTCTTTTGCCCAGATTTAACCGATGGGGGGGATGCCTTGCCCAGGGTCCCTCCCCAGACCTGCAGCCTACCTCAGCCGTCGCAGCTTCCAGCGGTGGGAGAAGAACATGGTCTCTTCTTCGCCTGCAGACAGCTCGTGGCCAAGTCCTGCTCCGTTTCATTGCTTTAGCTTAGTCACATCTCTCTGCTTCAGCAAACGCAGCGTAAATGGGTACCCAGTCAGGGTTTCAGGATCTGGCCTGTTGGTAACAGCAGGAAAAAGGCAGAAGAATCAGTAAGAAACTAATTTTCTTCCCTGGAATTCATCATACTATGACAAATAGGACCAAAAACCTAACCCACGCGGAGGTTGCATGCACATGGGGGGATTTTTCCTTCTCCCGGCATGCATCCCCAGCCCGCGGAGGCTGGAAACCAGGAGGGGGGGGAGGGAAAGGTGAGCTAAGGGAGAGAAGCGAGGGCACTTTGGACTGCTTCAGGCATCCCTCTTGGACCCCTCCAAGGGTTAGAGATGCTGATTTCTCCTCCTGCACCAAACCTCCTCACTTCCTTATCTGTGCGGCAAGCACGGGCGGCCCCAAGGTTATGGGCACAGTGAAAGCTGCTGGAGCGTCCCCTGTGCCACCTCCCGTCCCCATGTGCTCGGGGCTGACGAGGGGCTCCTGGGAAGAGCACAAAGCCAGCGGTCAGATGGCCCCCAAATCACCCGGAACATAAGCCGTTAATCAGGAGGGAAGTTAATTACCAATCTGTGCTCCGAGCAGGCACCAGGGTGGCTCCGGCAGCCGGGCAAGGAAAACTGAAGGTTGATGAACCCCAAAGCAGCAGGCTGTGTAATTGCTCGGTTGGGTTTGGGAAGGTTTTTGCAATCACCGAGCCACGCTCTGCCTGCCACTGGCTTTGGCTGCCCGGCAGCTTCCCCTTAATTACCGGCCCCCTCTTTTGCTAAGCGTGAGGGGAGGGAGGATGTTTCAGCTCGGCACTTGCTTTCCATCCGAGCTGCCTCCTTCCTTAGGGACTCGGCTCTGGCCTCTGTTCCTGTGTTAGGTCCCGGCTTCCCCGCGGGGTTCCTGCTTGCCCAGGAGCCCCGGCTGCGCGCAGGGATGAGCTGGCTGCGGCACCCGGGGGCTCTGCCATCCCTGCATGAAGTGGACAGGGGGCAAAAACCCCTCGGAGGTCCTGCTGCTGGGAGAGCTTGCGTGTACGTGGATGGGGCGAGGTGTGTGGTACCCAACAAGCCCTTTCCTCTCTAGATGATACTAAATCTGAGAGCTGCCTGCACCAGGAAAACCCAAACCAGGCTGGCGGGGAAGTGCAGAAGCGCACGGCTTCCCACGGTGCTGCTGCATTTGGGGGCAGCTCCGTGGCAAACCCATCTGGGGAGGCTTTTTGCAATGAGTTGCCCTGCAGAAACCCACGGTGCCGTGGGACGAAGCGCCCAGTGCTGACTCTGCCGTGTTGTGTCCCTTCCAGGCTGTGACGGGAGGAGTTAAGGGACGGTGCCTTCCTCCCCCTGCGGTTCTCCTCTTCCTCTCCGCTTCCCAACCCGGCGCTACAGAGGAGCAGCGGGCGCCGCGGGCCGACAGCGAGACAGGAATGAGCCTCTTCCCCTGCAGCGTTTCACCCCGTGAAACCTCTCTGCAAGGGCTGGAGGAGCCGAGCCGGTGGCCGAGCCCCGGGGACGCCTGGCTGTGGTGGGATGGGGACGGCGGGCGGCTCTCTGTGCACATGGGGTCGGGCTTTGGGCCGGTTCCCCACCGAGCAGGGGCAACCCATGAGGCAGACGGCAGCAATTTAATCCCAGGGGTCCTCTGATCCCAATTAGCATGGTCAGTGCTCATGATGCTCTGTTGGGGAGGGGTTGCTTCTTGATTCTCGGTGGGTTTATTTAATTTCCTTTTTTTTTTTTTTTTAAAATGAAAAAAAAGGGGGAAATGTTGCTGATTCATGAGTTTAGTGCTGGAGCCTGCCGGGGCCAGGGAGTGCCGCTGCTATTAGCTGCCCCCCGCGGGGAAATGCATCTGCAGAGCTGGAGCTGGAGGAGCCCTGCTCCCCCGCGCCTTGGCAGCCCCTTCATGGGCAGTGGTGACCTTTCACAAGTGGCTTCTCTACCTCCCGGCCATGCCCACTTACGCTCCCTCCCCAGGTCTCCCTCTCGGCAGGGTGCATCTCCACACTCCTGTTAATTTAGCCGTTTGCCCCGGTGTGTATCTAATCAGCGAGCCTTTCCCTCTCGCCCTCCCCAGCGCTGCTTTGCTCTTGGCTTCGACCCTCGCTCCCGAAGGCGCTGCCGAAGCCCCGGGTTTGGGGATGCTCTGGGGCCAGGCAGAGCTGAGCGGCTTGGGTTGGGGTCCTTCCCCTCTCCCGTTGCCTTCCCCAGGCTCATTGCCGGAGCCGGGGATGCAGACAGGCTCTGGTTGTACAGAGCATCTCCTTTCTCAGCCCCACACACGGGAGCTGCGGGCGTCTCAGCTGAACAAGCAGCCATGACCAGGACCGTTTTCCCCTGCATATTCATCTTCCATCAGCCAAATCCTGGACCTCCCCGAAGAGATGCTCTTTGGGCAGCGTCTCGGAGCCGGTGTTGCCATCTGAATACTGTGTGCCGGTATTTCCCTCTCCCCATCAGCTCGGATAGGCCCTCGAGCCCATTAGATGAGCTGTCAAGCGACAGATGATAGCAAATTGCGTTTTCAGGCCCTTATTGAGCGTAATTGCTTGACAGGAACCATCCCGAATAATTCAATCGTAGTCTAAGTTAGCTTTAATTTGGAGACATGACGAGGCTCTGCAAACTAACCAGCTCTGGTTTGTTTGCTGCTCCTCTAACTCCCCCTTGCCGGTGTTTGAACCGCTTTAGCATAAGTAAATGAAGATTAGAAACCTAATTGCGGCTAGGAAGAGATGTGACTTTAATTGTGGGGGCGTGTAAGGAGGTGCTTTTATTTCTTAAAATTTGCACATGTATAAAGTCTGAGGTGGGCGGGAGCAGGGAGGGTGAATCCGGCCTCCAAGCGTGCTGGCAGAAGGCGGGTCTGGGTGAGTCTCCTGGTGATGCTTTTGGGGCATTTGCTGTGCCATGCGGTCGCACCTCGCTCTAAGATGTTTTGCACAAAGTGGGGATGAGGCAGGATCACCCGCATCTGCTTTCCATGCTGAGGCCGAGTGGGATGAGTGAGCAAGGGCAGGATGAGCCCTTGTTTGTGCTAATTGCCCCTTCCACCGGGAAGCACGGGCAGTTTGTGGTCCTCTGGGCACGATGCTGCAGAGCTCAGCATAGGCGGCTGAGCATCACCTCGTCCCAAAGGATGCTCCATGGCTGCTCACCCTCTGCCTCCTCCGCATCCCACCTCTTCCCTCGCTAACACGCACCGGCTTCTTCATCCCACCCCGGGCCGCAGCAGCGATGTCCTCTGCCGCCCGTCCTCCCCATCCCAACCCCTCCCCGCTGCCTCATGTCCTCTCCATCCTCTGCGCGTGTGCGCATATGTGCCATAAATGTTGCACTAAGCCTCAGAGTCTCTCTGAGTTTTCACCAATGCCTTCACCTGCGGTGGCCCCGGGGTCTGTGGGAGGGAGCGAACCCCCACCGCTGGAGGTCTCTGCTGCCAGGAGGGGCGCGGGGAGGTCTCACCACGAAATCACCGGTCCCCAAACCACGTTCAGATGGAGCGATCGCTGTAGAAAGATGGTGTCCTTCTCACTTGGTGGTTTTAGTTTCTAAGTAGGCGTGAGCTTCCTAGGTGTGCAGTAGCCAGTGGAGCGTGTTGGAAAGATGAAGGAGGTGATGCCACGGGTGATGCTCAGCACCAGGGGTGGCAAAAGCGCTGTAGCCTGATAGATGTTGTGCAGATTTTTGGTAGAAGGTACAATGTCCGTCTTGAAAGACTTACTGTGGGTTTGCTCTCTGTGCCCCAAGTCCTCTACTTGCCTGGAAAGTCTCACCTTGACATATTCCCCTGTGGGGTCTCACCAGCCCTTGGTAGATGCCTGCTCTATTTTATCAGCTGAGACTCAAGGAAACAAGTGAGCCGATGAGCATGTTGGTCTGGTCCTCGTGGGAGCACAGGGCTCTCTGCAGTGGCCTTGGCCAAGCGTTTCTCCCCTGGATTTTGGGCATCCAAAAGGAGCTAAGTGCTCCTATAGCCAACAAATCTCACCAAATCTTCCCTCATCTCCCTTCTCTTTCTCCCCCGCTTCCCTCACCGTAACGTCTCAGCTGGGCCACGAGCAGAGCCGTTGCACAATAGTATCGATGGAAAAATAGCTGCCCTGTATTTATCGTAAATGAGCTCAGAAGAGCAGCTCCTTCCCTTCCATTCAGCGCAGCAACGGTTGTTTATGCAGCCGTGTTATTTGCATCATGCCTTCTTATTTTTGAAAGTCTTAATTATTAAAAAAACCCCAACCAACAAATCTTACTCTTTTTTTTTGTTGTTGTTCTTTGTTTTTTGACTCCAGCTTTGTGCGGGTTTTTTTTTCCCCCAGTTTAAAAATATCCAGCCCTTCA